GGACCTGGTCTCCATAGCTATATTCACTGCAGCCTGGTTCAGAGGAACAGGTTTTCAGAAAGCAGAGAGGAAGCTGACCTGGTGGAGGTACTCAGTCAGAGAACAGGAGCTCAGTCACACCATGGAACCCAAATCACACAGATATTTCAGGTCACAAGATCGTCAGTGTGCTTTGGGTTCTTCAATAAATACTTGTGCACTGTGAAATCTGAAGCAAGTCCTCCTTCTCTTTTGCATTATTTACAGGCTTTAAGCTTTATTTTGTACCATATATTGACTGACTATTCTCAATGATTAATTATTAAGCTGGATTTCCTATGAGGGAAAAATACATTGTTGTTTAATATAGAGGTATTGTAATGAATTTGATAAAACTTGAAATGTACATAGCACTGAAAGGGACAATACAGACACATTAAAATATAGAATTACACAAAAATGTATTATTTAGATCCAAGATCAAGAAATATATAAGGAAATATGAGTAGAATGTGCAAGAGTGGGATATCAGCAAGAATGCCAGAAGAAAGAAAAGTAAAAAAAACAAGGTTATATGAGGACAAGAGATCCGGACCATGAAGTGGAAAAGTAAAATATAGTTTACTAGCGAAAATAGTATTGAATTTGTAAGAGACAGTTAAGAATACTGATGTTGTATAGGAATTATTTATTTTGCAATTACAGGGTACTAAATTAATCCAGCCAACAATAAAAGATTGGTTTAATTGGAGAGGCACTCACGTGCAGTGGATCAGCAACCCCTTACAAAAACATGGCTTTCCCTAGTGCTTGAGAGTGATACAGGAACCTGAGAGATCTATGAGGGCATGGGTGTCTTTTATTACAGATGATCCAGACAGGGGCAGACAGATGACAAAGTCAGGTTGTCAGAGCTGGCAGCTATGGGGGCATAGTCAGAATCGAAGCCAAAAGGTCAGAAGCCGGGAAATCCACAAAAAGGAACTGGAAAGCCAGAGCTCAAGGGTTGGAGTCAGACCCAAAGCCAAAAGTCAGAAGTAGAACCTGAGGAGGCAGTCAAAGCTAGTCAGATCAAGGAGCATGTGTGAGTATGGTTGGGGGTGTAGGAAAGAGTGATAGGGTGGGGCTGGGTGTGGTGAGCAGTGAGTGATTGGCAGGGTGGGGGTATAACTAGGAGACATGTTCTGTACTTCCACCCCTGCCATTTTATAATCGGCTAGGAATTGTTCCCTACTTTCCTGAGTATCTGCCATGGCCTAGAGCATGGATATTGATGTGGTGCTTGCTGCTCTTAAAGTTGAGGCCATTCTTGACGGTGGCAGGCACCTTCAGGCACAATTTGCTTGTCTGCAGGCTGCTGCCATGGCTCTTGCCCTTTCACCACTGTGAGGCACAGGGCAAGGCCTCCATCCTGGTATGACCCCTTTGGCGTACCACAGGGTGCATGGCTGTTCATTCTGGCCCCATTGGCCAGGGTGACCAAGGCTCCGATTTGCGGGCCTGGCGTTCCACGGCCACAGATCGCAGGACAGCGCCTGCAGGCCACATGTTGGTGGGAGTACAAGTTCTGACTCACGGGCCTCGCATTCAGCAGCCGTGGGTTGGGTTGAAGAGCCTCCTTCAATGGCTGCTGCATCCCGGGCTGCGAGTCTGAGCGCTACCTACACTCATCCGCTGGACTGGGGTCCAGTTGTTGGGCTTCCAGGAGGGTGAGTAGTCCGCAGGTACATCCACGGAGGGCATTGGGCCTGTCTAGGGAGTCTAGGGGGCCATGGTTTGGTAGCGTTCCACTGTACACTGTGTCCCCAGTGGGCAGTGGATTTGGCAGCCTCCCTCCTTCTCCCTCTTCCCTTCCTGGGACTATTCTCTCCCCTGGGCAGGGGGATCCTCCTGGTCTATTGTTGCTGGGGGGAGGAGGGTTTGGGAGGGGACCACTCGAACCTCTAGTCTTCTATTCTGCCCATGGATGTGTCTGCTTTGGTCCCTCCTATTGCTCCTGTGGCTCCAGATGCTGGTCAGCATGTGGATCCTGTGGTTCCTCTGTTACCTTCTACTCCTGCATCGAGTGGTCAATGTCCCCTCCTAGGGGATCTTAAGAAAGTTGGGGGCGCGGGCAGTGGGAACACTGGCGTACTTCCAAGGCAGGATCTGGGTGGGTTACCCCGGCTGCAGGACCGGTGGGGTTGGACGAGCAGGTTTAGGCAACCTGGGGGTGTTAACTACAGCGGGATCAACCCCTGGTGGGGTCTGCAGGTTCGTCCCCGTCCCTACTGGTTACTTCCCCAGTGGTTCCAGATGCTCCGGTTTCTTCCCCCACGCCGGCTGGCTTGGGGACTTCGGATTTGGGTTCTGCTAGTGCAGTGGAGGTAGCGCAAGAGGCACATGGGGCAGCATACATGTGCTGGTTGGGCCTTCCGGGCCTACACCTAAAACCTGAGGTTCGGAAGAAGATCTGGAAGGGGGAATTAGTGGACATTTTTTCCTTGCTCCCCTTGGAGGACTTGCCTCCCCTGGACAAGGATGCTCAGGAATCGGAGAAAGAGAGGGAAAGGCTTGTTTTTGGAAGATTCACAAAGTTGCTTAGTAACTGGGTTCATAGGGGAGAAAGCCCCTGCCAAGTGCTTGGCCCTCTTCTGCTACCAGGATACAATTTGGAATGCGTGTCATGTGTACAGGGGCCTGGTGTAGTGACAGTATGATGAACAGTTCCGTTAGTGGCTCGCGGTGTGCCCTCTGGTGGGGTGGGACCAGATGGGTATTGGGCTGTGGTTGGTGATTATGACCCGTCCATGGGTGCACCAAGGGTGCTTATCGTCCTTTCTTGGGGGGGGGGGCGTGGCAGGGACACAGTCTGCGTCGGCCGGTTCCTGTCGCCTCAGTTGTAGGCAGTTCAATGAGAGCCATTGCAAGTGGGGAGCAAGTTGTGAGTTCAAGCATGAATG